GAAGACAGTTTTTCCAAGGACCGGGAAGGGAACGTGGTTTTGGGATGATTGATACACATTACATTTATTGTGCACTTTATTTCTATTATTATTACATTGTAATATATAATGAAATAATTACACAACTCACTGTAGGTTGGGGACCCCTGTTTTAGAGAGATCTGGGGCCTCTATCATGTCATTAGTTACCATATATTATAAAACATTTGAATCATTGTAGACTATTTGGCGTCAGTAACTCTGGCTGGATTACTGAAAGCAAGTGGTGTTTGTGTCCATGCTTAATTGTAAATGGGTTTTGTTTTGTTTTTCAGGTTTTTCTAAAGAGTGACCGTGTGGCCAGAATGGTTCAGAGTGGAGGGTGTTCTGCTAATGACTTCAGAGAAGTGTTTAAAAAGAACATAGAAAAGCGTGTGAGGAGTTTGCCAGAAATAGACGGCTTGAGCAAAGAGACAGTATTGAGCTCATGGATAGCCAAATATGATGCCATTTACAGGGGTGAAGAGGACTTGTGCAAACAGCCAAATAGAATGGCCCTAAGTGCTGTGTCTGAACTTATCCTGAGCAAGGAACAACTCTATGAAATGTTTCAGCAGATTCTGGGTATTAAAAAACTAGAACACCAGCTTCTTTATAATGCATGTCAGGTAAGTGGTCTATGATATTTTCCATTTCCCTGTCTGACTCATAGAATGGATATCAAGTGTTTACGAGACTGTGAAGATGTTCTTTACTTTTGATAATCATTTTGCTTGAAAAATGTTGAGAGGAAAAAAAAAAAGAAAGTTGAGTGAAATTGAATTTTAATAAATAATATAGTGATATTTGAAAGCTTTGAAAGAAGTATTTGATGGAAAAGAATATCAGTACTTTTTATCTAGTAAATAATTGTTCCTATGTGCCCTATTTTAGGAAATCAGATTTATGTGTGTTGGGTCTATATGGACCATGCCCTGAATAGTGAAATAAAAATCATCTGTTATCTGAAGAAGCTTGGTAATTTATAATAAACAGGTCTCAGTGCAAAATAATGTTTTATAGTCTTCTGGGTTTTATGAAAGTAATGAAATTTCTATGTTTTTCTTTAACTCACCCAGCTAGAAATGAATTTAGTATGATTGTTAAACTATGTAATTTAAAGATTTGACAGAGTTAATAACATATTTTCCCTTCAGTTATTATTCTAGTTATGCATGTGAAAAATAGAAAAAAATCTCATGTTCCACATCTTTCTTTTTTTTTAGACCCTATGATTTGCCTAATAATATATT